GTTGCTCCTGACCTTCTTCTTGTCACTTTGCTTGTTTGCTATAGCGCAATCTCTAGTAGGAATTACATTATGGTTGTTGCTCGGTTGTCTCTGTTAAATTGGTGGTTGACTAGCTACCCCAGAAAAAAGATTGATATGCCAAGTTGGAATTTGGAGTGGGAGATCACTGATATTAGTGTCAGCTGGAAGTGATTATACTTTCTTGGATGGAGAAGTTCTCGACTGTCCCCGTTTTATCAGTCCCTGTTTCCTCTCATTAAGTGCATCAATTTCCATAAAATAAATCTTCTGAATACAAAACTAATGTTATATTTCCACATTGTGATAGTAGAAGCACCAGAAACATCTAAGTATCTATCAAGCTGGTCCCAAGGAGACAGACAAAAACTGTATACTAGTAACCCTATTTTACAAACATCAAAACATTGAGTAATTTTTCTTCTGAATTTGGAGATCAGATAATTGTTATTCAATGTTAAGCATATCAGGATTCTACGAGTTATTTTATCTCCATTTAATTTCTGTCTCATTAAAATCCATGTCCTTCTTAAGTCCCACCCTCTTTACAAAGTTGAAAAGAGTGGATGTTCTTAGGTGAATTTTGATACATAATTGGAAATAGCTTCAATAAACCAATGCATTTTTCTTTGAGAGCAGAAAGTAATGGAAGAAAAGAAAATATTAAAGAGGATGCAGCTGGGCAACTATTAAGCACTATTTATAGAAAATGAATTCTATAAATGAAAGTAAATCCAGTCCCTGAATATCTTGCCTTATTCCTAGGTCAAGCTCTTCCTCTTATTTCTTCCAAGGCCTAGTAGCCATTGTGAATGAAATGGACAGTTGGATGCTTGGAGGAAGAGAGAAAGGAGAGGATGGATAAGATGGCCACATACCATTTCCATTCTAAGAAAGCATTGATCCCCACAAGTATATTACTTCTCCCTTGAGAAAGTTAAAGATTGTGGGTGTCCCCAGATAAACTGGGTCCTTGTGTGCAATTCCTTCTGCTCCTCTCCAAGGACCTTATTAAAAAGTTCACCCCAGGCAAACTTTTTTGAAACACAATTCTGAATTAAGTTTATTCATTTGATAGGATTTTCCCCAGCAGATTTTCTACAGGTATCCCTTCATATGATGGTGGGATGAATTTGAATTATAATCCAATCAATCAAGAGGCTGTAGGCTTCCATCAAGAATCCTGTTCCTCAAAACAGTCCCCAGGAACTTTTTTCTTATTTATTTAATTTATATGCTACCCATAATACTATCCAAAGTTGTATTGCTGGTACATACATATTGCTAGTACAAGAAACAATATGGATGCTTATTTCTTTTAAGAGGACCTATTTTGAATCTGGAGAAAGAATTGGGAAGACCTTGGAAGATGATGTCCCCTCTTGAATAAATGAATGAATGAATGAATTTTTTATTGGTCAAGTGTAATTAAACACATGCTTTGGTGCATATGCTCTCAGTGTTCATAAAAAGAAAGATACACTCATCAAGAATCATAAGGTACAATGCTTAATGATAGTCATTGAGGACCAAATACAAGGCAGTCTTTATTTTTGTCTTTTTCCGTGGATTTTATTTCTAGTTTTATGATTCCTAACACTGAGCAATGCCTGATTCCCACTCTTCCTTCTCCACAACAAAGAGGTATATCATAATGGAAGGAAGAACTAAATGGAGGAAGAGAAGATGATGATGGAGACACTATGCCCAAAGCAGTTATGGAAATGTCAAGGAGACAAACAGGATCTCCTGATGGCAACCACTGACATTCAATTGTGTGCCTTATTCAGCAACTGGTTTCTTGAAACTTGCTAATGATTTAAGAATACTAGCCATTCCTTATGGAACACGGATGAAACGACCTGTGGTTCTAGAGCAGAGATGGAGAACAATAGCCATTTTATGACTTGTGGACTTCAATCCCAAAACTTCCTGAGCAAGTTGGCTCAGGAATTCTGGAAGTTGAAATCCACAAGTCATAAAAAGCCCATAGTTCCACATCCCTGCTCTAGAGCATGGTTATTTAACCTATTGGCTTCTCTTGACCACATTGGGTAGGAATTGTCTTGAGTCACATATATGGTAAAATACATAATATAATGTATATAAATAACAAATCTCCTTTATTTTTAAATATGGTTTATTATCTCTTGTGGGGCCATATTACTAGCTGTTCAAGGGCCACATGCAACATATTTGCCATGGTTGGATACATCTGTTTTAGAGTTTTCTTTTTTGGAGATTCTCCATGATTGTTGAAGCTGACACTAGTTTCTAACATTTTGAGGTAGGACCTAGGGAATATAGGAAAATTGTAGTGTAAGGCCCAAGAAATCTAGAATCTACCTGCTGAATATCTGGTGAAATTACCATATTTTTTGCACTGTAAGACACACCTCCCCCCCCCCCAAAATGGGTGGAAATGTCTGTGCGTCTTATAGAGCGAATATTGCAGTGGGAGGAGGGGGATTGGTGCCTGTCACTGCCACTGCATTTACCACTGCTGGGAAATGCTAGAGACTTTCCTGCAGAACAGCTGATTAGAGGTTGGATCAGCCTCCTGGAATAATGCTGATCATCTGTTCTAGGCAATTGCTGCTGCTGTGCCTATTTCCACCAATCACTGTCTATCAGTGGCACTGATACCACCACAATTCAACTGCTGCTAATCAACAATGCTGCTGATTGCCACCACCATCAATCACCGCTGATTGCCGCTGCTGAATGGTAATGGTAGTAATAGGTGGCAGTGGTGGTGGTAGGTGGTGGTGATAGGTGCTGGCAAATGGCAATTGGCAGTGGCAAACAATGATCGTAATGGCAGCGATTGGCGACGATAGGTGGCAGCAGTGATAGGTGGCAGCAGAAATCTCCACTGCCTAGAACATCTGACTGGTGGTATTCTGGGAGGCTGATCAAACTTCCAATCAGCTGCTCAGCAGGAAAGGCTCCAGCATTCCCAGGTGGCAGCAGCAGCTCAGCTCAGTTGACCGGTGATGCGTGCAACTGAGCAGAACCCTGACAAGCAATGTGCTGGGGCTGCAATAATGTGCTGAAGCTGACCAGGCTGTTTGCTGTTTGCTGCAAAGATGCTAGCCAAATGAATACCAGATGGAAATTGGGAGACAGAAGCAGGTTTTTTTTTCTTGTTTTCCTCCCCAAAAGCTAGGTGTGTCTTATGTTCTGGAGCATCTTATAGTGCAAAAACTACATTAAGTTATTTAGCTTATTGTACATTGACATATGATTCTTTATATGTTTTAATGCCCTCATTCAGACATCTAGCAATGTTGACTTCATCACAGCATAATTACATTGAGACAGGGCCAACAGGTTTTGCTTGTTTCACATAATCTCATTCTTCAGGAGGAATTGGAAATATACTTGACCCAGATATTTATATGGTCCAGCAAAATAAAATCTACCAATCAATCCTGCCAATCTTAAAATGTAAATGAACCTAGTTAATACATTGATGAGAGGGGTGTTCAAGAAGCAATACAAAATGTACACTGGGAGTTCAATAATACACTCCTAAAGTAGGCAATAGTTCTATGCTGTTCTCAAGAAGAATTCCATGGATGTAGTATGTGGTCTCCAGAAATAGAGCTAAACTCAAAGCAAGCTTATTTTATTCGGGAATCAAAGTATTATTTCTATCACTCTTTAATCTGTGCCATTCTCTTTAATTGGAATGTAGATATCATTTTAAAAAATAGATTAACAGAATTGAAGGTACCTTGTAGGTCTTCTAGTCCAACCCCACACCCAAGCAGGAGACCCTACATCATTTCTGACAATGGCAGTCCAATCTCTTCGTGAAAGCCTCCAGTGATGAAGCTCCCACAACTTCCGAGGGCAAGCTGCACCATTGGTTGATTGCTCAACCAATGTCAGAAACTTTCCCCTTATTTCTAGGTTGAATTGTTCCTTGTTCAGGTTTCATCCATTATTCCTTGTCTGGCCTTCAGGTGCCTTGGAAAATAGCTTGACCCCCTCCTCTCTATGGCAGCCCCTAAAATATTGGAAGACTGCTATCATGTCTCCCCTGGTCCTTCTCTTCACTAGACTAGCCAAGCCCAGTTCCTGCAGCTGTTCATTGTATGTTTTACCCTCCAGTCCCCTAATCTTGACAAGCTTAATCTCAATCCTTTGTGCTTTTAGGTCTTTCTGAGTCTGAAATATCATTCTTTTGTTTGGAGTACACCTTTCCACAGATCTTAATGGACTATTGGAAATACAGTCAATCAAATTATAGAACATGCTGCCTGATTTGCTTTTAAGAATTTTGAAACCAACTTTCACAGTGCTCTGGCATTCACTCGAATGCCCCAGATTTGGCAATTTATTACATGTTAATTTCAATTTATTGCCCCACTGTTGTTCTTTTAGTCAATCCATCACATCTGACTCTTTATGGACTTTTTAGGCAAGTGCTCTCCATGCTTCCCTTCAGGTACAGTGTCTTTCAGCTGTTGGATGTTCACCTTTGTATCAGATTTGCTGTTATTAAGCCAACTTGTTCTTTGCTTTCCCCTTCTTATTCCATGAACCACCCCAGCATCATTTGACTTCTGCAATGAATTTGCAGGCATGACATGGCCAAAGTAAATCAGATGTACTCTTATAATTTTGTCTTGTGTCTGATTTTATATGTTCAGCCTGTCCCAATACACAATGTTAATTTAATTTTTCTGTTTTGATATATACTACCATCTCTGGAAACTATAATTAGCAAAAAGGCAATATTGAGCCTATCCTGTAATCATTCAATAAAAGTTTGTACATCTTAGCAGTAATGTATCATTTGTACACAATTCCACATCTAATTCAGTCTTATCATTTTTCAGTCTCATAATTCTTCCTATCAACCTTAAATTTTTCTGTTAACCGAGAAAAAGGAAACATATAAAGCCTTCCATTTTTTCTTGTTTTCAACTTAAAATCTTCATGGGAAAAAATTAACAAACCAATCCTGTTATCTATCTGCTAATTTTAATATTCACAAACAGTCTCCACATGGCAGTTTGGATCTCCTTATTCCTCAAGGTGTAAATCACAGGATTCATCAAGGGGAAGACCATAGCATGGAAAAAGGCCACCACTTTGTCCAGTGGATAGTCTCGGAAAGGATGACAGTAGATGTAGATGGCTGGACCAAACATGATGAAGATAATAATGATATGGGTGATGCAGATAGAAGAGGCTTTACTTTTTTCTATACCAGAGCCCATCCTCAATTTCAGCAGCAGTGCCAAATAGGATATAAGAAGGAGAATGAAACATACAATGCTTGGCATACCACTGTTAAAAAACATGACAAATTCTAGAGTGTAGATGTTGGTGCAAGCTAATCTGATAATCTGGGTGATATCACAAAAGAAGTTATCCAACTCATTGGGGCCACAAAATGGAAGTAAAATGATGAAAATGACCTGGATGATGGAATGTATCAATCCTCCAAACCATGAAGTTACTACCATTGCCCAACAAATGACCCTGGTTACTACCAAGGCATAATGCAATGGATGGCAGATGGCTATATACCTATCAATAGCCATCGCAAAGAGGAGAAACATCTCAGCTCCTCCTAGAAAATGAATGAAAAATATCTGAGTGATACATCCTATGTAGGAGATTGTCACACAACGAAAAAATATGTTGAGGAGGAGCTTTGGATGGGTGACACAGCTATAAAAGATATCAACCAAGGCCAGGTTGGCCAAGAAGAAAAACATGGGAGATTCCAGGGAAGGATTTTGCAGAATTGTCACAACAATTAGGATATTCCCAGGAAGAATGATGATACAAAAGAGCAGCAGCAGAACACAAAATAATATCCGAAATTCCCAGATTTGTGACAATCCCTGGAGGACAAATTCAGTCACTGGTGAATATGTTTCATTTTCCATCCTTATACCTCTAAAGGAATAAAAATTATAGGGAATCAGTATTAATCTTTTTCATTTAATTTTTGTGTAATTCCAAATATCACAGCAATTGATCTTGGAGTCATGGAAACCATAGGTTTTTAATCCTAGTTGATTCTATGAATCTGTCTGTACCATCGGTTTTCCTTGGAATCACAGAAGACAGTTGAGAAATTAGAATGAGTGGTGGAGGAGAAAAAGCAGAATAAACTATAAGAAAATATAAATAAATTAAAAGCAGATAAAAACACTGAAAAGACAGTAATAATAAATACTAAAAATCAACTAGATAATCCATTAAGCACTTACAATAGAATAGAAGGGGTGGGGTTTCAAAAATAATGAAAAGGTTATGGATGGATATTCAAAAGATGCAGCAAAAGAAGATAAAGTGTAAGGCAGAGGGAACAATTAGTCTGTGCAAAAATGCTAGAAAGACGTATAGGATTCTAAAAAAGGAACATAAAAGAATTACCAAACAACCAATAAATGAAGAAATTCTAAAAAGGCTGAGAGATGATGAATAGAGATATAATATTCTGCAATATAGTAATTATATAATTATATAATTATATTGAAAACCAATAGAAATAAGTGGATACTTTAAATTTGGAAAATAATAGCACATATATAGATATATAATAATATTTATTATAACCATAAATATATTAAGATTAGGCGGAAAATAAGGATTAGGTATATCTAAATGTATTATTATGATTAACAGGATGCAAAAAATATATCGGAAAATACAGTTTTCAAGGATTATAAATCCAGGAGATTTAGAGATATAATCTTGGGGCTGATTAGGTCCTATTGACAATTGGTTTTATTGGTGTTTATAGAAGATTGAGATATTGAAAATGTGGTGGAACACTAAGTGATGCTTATAATATTAAAATATTAGTGACTTAACAGGGCTTAATAAGTATATTTTATAAAGAAATGTTATTGATATTTACATGTATTTTTGGAAAAAGTGATAAAAATCATAAAGAGAGAATAGTATTGTTTAAAGATAATGAAGTGAATACAAAAAACCCCAACAAATGGGAAAAATAAAGAAATAAGTATAAATTGGGAAAATAGTAAAATATATATTAATACATAAAATAAAAAATATATAATTATAATGAGCACATTAAGGTTAGAAGTTGGAAGATAAAAGTTCTGCATATGTAATTGTATTATTACTGTGAGCACTGTGAAAAATAAGTTAACTCAGTCATTACACTGTCCACAAACAAATGTTTGGTTGTTAAAGAAAAACTGCCAATAAAACATATACCCCCCCCAAAAAAGAAGAAAGAAAGACTCACCAGGAGTCAGACACAATTGATAGGATAACATAATCAACATTAGCTGCATATTGAGACACTTTACTGTCAGTTTTAAGAGAATGTAATCCTATTTTAATCTTCCCCAATCAAGTGCCCTCTGTAATTGACAAACTACAATCCTTAACCTGGAATTTGGATTCAACATATTTGTAGGATCTATGATTGAGGGCAGCTGCAATAAACATTTTTAATGTGGAACATGGTATACTAATGGATTCAATAACTCAGTAAAGTAATATCTTTATTCCATGTAAAGCATCTTTCAAGGTCTAAATTCATTAGAGAGTAGCCATTGACCCAAAGGTGTCTGATTGATAATCACAAGAGAAGATGTCTTAAATATGATCTATAGTTGATCCCCCCAAATAAAGTTGGGATTTCTCTGCATTTGTTTCTACATGAAGCAGTAACAGATACACAGAGAGAGTTTCAAAAATAAACAAAACCCACGTCACCAATGCGACTATCACTATCACAGAAAGGCTGCTTACCATCACTCTTTTTTAAGATCAGTGGCTCTTATCCATTATGATTTCAACTGAGACCAAATGTTTTCTCTTACTTATACCATGGAGAGAGTCTATTAATGGATGCGACACAGTGGTGGGATTCAAATGTTTTTACTACTGGTTCTGTGGGCGTGGCTTGGTGGGCAAGGTAGGGGAAGGATACTGTAAAATCTCCAGTCAGAGGTGGTATTTGCTGGTTCTCCAAACTACTTAAAGTTTTCACCACCAGTTCTCCAGAACTGGTCAGAACCAGTTGAATACTACCTCTAATGTGACATGAGGTGCAGTCTCTCAGCTGACTGCAAAGGAACTATGTTGAAAGGACTTTGCACTCAGCTTTTGAGGAAGAATAACAGATTCTGAACTCCCAGACTACCCATGTAACTCAGAATATAGAATAACAAAGTTGGAGGGAACCTTGGAAGTCCTCAAGTCCAATTCCCTGCTTAAGCAGGAGATAATATTTCAGACAAATGTCTGCCCAATCTCTTCTTAAAAACCTCTAGGATTGGAGCAACCACAACTGGAGTCAAGCTGTTCTACTGATGAATTGTTCTAACTGTCAGGAAATTTCTCCTTAGTTTTAGGTTGCTTCCCTCCTTAGTTAGTTTGCGGGCATTGCTTCTTGTCCTGCCTTCAGATGTTTTGGAGCATAAGCTGCCCCCACTTCTTTGTGGCAGTCTCTTAGTTATTGGAACATTGTTTTCCTAGTCCTTTTTTTCATTAAAGAAGACATACCCAATTCTTGCAACCATTCTTCATATGTTTTATCCTCCAGTCCCCTAATCACCTTTGTTGCTCTTCTCCGCACACTTTCTAGAATCTCAACATCTTTTTGTTGTGGCAACCAAAACTAGATGCAATGTTGTATTCTTACCAATGCATTATAAAGTGGAATTAAGAGTTTATTTGAATTCCCTAACTTTCTTCTAGGAGCTACAAGGGAAATACATAATATTTCCTTCTTCCACTCCCTCCCAAGCACTCAGTGAGATATGTTGAGAGAGAGAGAGACAGAGAGCAAGAGTTCTGAAATCATTCTGAGATCTTCCATGACAAAACCTGGATCTCCACAATCTAGTCCCACTAGGGGGACCACACCATAGAGAGGATCTTAAAATTTCTAATGGCTCAGAAGAAGAAGAAAAAGTGATCTGATGGCAATCCAAAGATCAGAGGTAAAAAAAAATTCATTTTGTTTGAGAGAAAAAAACAACCCCTGATCTGTGCTATCAAGTGAATCATTGTCTTCTCCTCCTAACAGCAACTGGAAAATAGCAATAGCAATAGCATTTAGACTTATATACCACTTCACAGCACTTTACATCCCTCTCTAAGTGCTTTAAAGAGTCAGTATCTTGCCCCCACAACAATCTGGGTCCTCATTTTACCAACCTCAGAAGGATGGGAGTCTGAATCAACCTTGATCTGGTCAGGATTGAACTCCTGGCAGTTGGCAGAGTTAGCCTACAGTATTGCTTTCTAATCACTGTGCCACCACCAAATGTGGTTTGCATGGAAGAATCTGGAGGAAGAGTGCAAGAACTGAAAATAAAAGATTTGGAATAGAGTTGATGGCTAGAAATAAATTGAGGACTTACCGTTTGTTGTTCTCTCTTAAATTTGGTAGTTGACCAATATGTTCCTTAATTATGAAACTTCTGAATGAGGTTTATTCAATCAAGCACCATACTGTAATGAGTTGTAGTGCTTTGCTTTAATTTCCAAGACCATTACTGAATAAAAAACAGTAAAATTTGTGTCTTTCCTTCCACTAGTTTTGATTTAAGTGCTAACACACTTCTATTTTATCTATGTTGATCTGAATGCTACATTCATGACTTTCTTTGTACTGTCAAATAGCAAAGCTATTTGATGCAATGATAGTTATGGATGGAAATTAATAGTTTCAGAACTCCCAGTTAAAACATCAATTCTCCTAAAACACTTAAGACTTGTCAACACTTCTGCCTCATTTAAATGTGGAGGAAAAATCTCTTATTTTTATATCTGTGAAGCCACTAGGAGTTAAAAGAAACTCAAAGGAGATCTTACTTATTTTCTACAAATATGAGCTACTTGATCCAGGTTGGCATCCTTTACAGATCTGTTAGCGCAGGTTTAATCATTGCAAACTAAGGTCCCTGAGCTGGTAACATCGTCACTACATATGAAACCCTCATATATGGTGTATCCATTTTAAGAGGAAGCAGCTTCTGAAGCTGAAGCTAAAAACACATGGACTTCTAAAAGTAACATATTGACTCTGAGCTATCACTGGTAGTATCTGTCTGTTCATGGAGACTTAAATCTCACCTCAATGCTTGAAACTAGTCTTTGAAGATATATCTGATCCTATATTGATCTTATATTGGATCAGAAGTTGGTCAGTAAAGTTGCGAACTGCATAGTTCAATTTTCTCTGATTTATACTTCCAAAAGATATTGCAATAATAGAAGATTGTCAATTTGCACTCTTGCTCTGTCTGTCTGTCTGTCTGTCTGTCTGTCTGTCTGTCTGTCTATCTATCTATCTTTGCAATCTTGGAAATCTTGAACACTTGATCATCAAGGAAGAATAACGGCAAGATATGATTTTCTTTTTTTGGCTCTCCTTCTCTGCCAAGGCTTGAAATTCTTCAGGCCTATTAAGAAGCTTATGTGATGGGAAGGGGTGAATTACAGAGAGAGGAAGGAAAAGGAAGGGTAACTATGTTCTTTATCCCTTATACTTAAATTTTGGCACTCGTGCATTTCTACAAATGTGTGTCATCAGACAGCCGGAAGATTCTGCATTTCCCTGAGCAAACTGAGCCCTAGTGTAAGATTCCTTCAACTTCTCTCTAGAGTCCTTATTAAAAAAAAAAAAGAATACCAGGAGCAAATAGTTTTGAAAAATATGTTCTCCATTAAGTTTATTCACTAGATCAGATTTTTTCCCCCAAGCTGGTACCTTTCAAAATGTTAAATTAAAGTTGCCATCTCTTTGTGCAGTGTGCAGGGGTGATGGGAATGATAATCCAATTCATCAAGAAGATGCTACCTTCAACAAGCATGATGCTGGTATTATTAACATGTTGAAATAATATAATTATTAACAGTGAGATAATGCAATTAATAATATTAATATTTA